CCACTGCTGCGGCTTTGCTCCCGGTGTCCCTGGTCTGCTGGAGACGGTCCCCAGCAGACGAGGGGCACCGGGAGCAGCTTTTCTCACTCCGGAGGTCAAGGTGGTGGGACCGCTGCCTGCGAGCTCCGGGGCGAGAAAGCCCCGTTCGTAAGTGCGGATCCGACTTAAGTCGGATCCGCGTAAGTTCGGGACTGCCTGTACTGAATAATAGGGAAAGCATGAGTCTATTTTGTCTGATTTTGAATCCATTCAAACATGGTGGAGTTCAAATATTACCTGGTTTGCATTCTGAAACTCGGAAAATAGGAGCCGAGATGAGAGGACAAAAGGAAAGGGAAAAAATAAGATGAAAAGTAAAGCAGAGAAGGAAAAATACAGAAGGAGAACATGACAAAAAGCAGAGAAAGAGCATGAAAAATCTTTTAAAAATTCATAGTGGATGTACTCGAAATTGGAAGCACCCACTAGTGGTAGCCTACAGTAGTTTTGACAGAGAGAGATAGTGAACAGAGAGCTCCTTCTATGCCCAAGCATATTGCATAGACTTCCCCATAGCTAAAAAAGGATATTAAGGGAAGGGTTAATTAGAATTACCCCAGGAAAAAAAATGCTTGGGTTTAAATGAATATAAGGTTCACAAATTCTAACTAGAGTTAATGGTGAACCTCAATTACAGTGCCAGATCTGCCAGACCTCACATTACATTAGCTTTGTAGATCCTTTAATTTGTACATGAGACAGTTCCTTCCCTCACCAAGAAGCCCAGAACTCTGCACAGTGTGGGGGTTGCACAAGGGAGCTGATTAAGGGCTCACCAACCCAGAAAACTGGCAGCTGCTTCTCACTCCCTTTGCCCCATGTGAAAGATCCACAGAGAGCAATGCTCAGAGCCAAGATCTGGCCTGATTGATCCTACCCTTCCACAAGTTTCTCCACACCCGACAGTGGGCACAACCATGGCCCTTGTCTTTCCCTGAACTCAAGGATGATGAATCTATTAGTGATGCTGCTAAACAGGCTCCTTTTTCAGCCACAGAAAGACTCTTTTAGTTCTTTCTACATTTCCTGTGCTGCTAAACTTCTCAGAGGAAGGCAAGAAGAACCTAGTTTTCCCCAGAACTGACCCACCAAAAGGAGGCATGGGGCTGTCTTCCCCTTGAATGTACAGTGTAGCTGTGCACAGTCCCACACATCTGGCTGTGCCTTAAAGGCAACGTTAAATTCTCCATAGATGAGAAACTACAGTTACCAACCACTGCAAAGCAGCTGTCTCTGGCATAGAAGTGCAACAGTCAAGCTGACAAATGGCAGGCAGCCCACTGTCGGCGTCCCTGGCATAGAAGTACAACAGTAAAGCTGACAAATGGCAGGCAGCCCACTGTTGGGGAGGGGTTTGGCAGAGGAAACTGAGGCAAATCATTTTTCTGATGAAAGACCATGGGGTCCTTAATGTCTAGAGCAGACAGGACTGCAGATTTGGAGGTCTCATTTGCACAGTCACACCAACAGTAAATGGCAAGAAACAGATTCTTCTCTTTTGTTATTACCAGTATTTGAATGTTTTAATGGGCCCCTCCAAAAGGCAACATTTATTTTGGTAGGTCAAATAAGCTCTAGCAGCAGGGCTGTGCATGCATTGAAATGTAAAGCAATGTTGATGTTTCTTGTTACATCAGTTACACAGTCCCTGACCTTGATCGCTTACTGGTCCCTTGGCTCTACCTGCTTCTTTCATAACCCCCTTGGATGTCCTGCCAACAGCTTACATGTGACGGGCCAAGTTCTGGGCTGACTTGCATGGCAAGTCAGTGGCGTTCCACCAAACATAAGTCAGCTCAAAATTGGGCCCAAGCTGGCTACAGAAGTTTACCCGTCTGGAAACATGGTTATAATATGGTTTGGTCACGTCAACACAGGCAAGACTAAATTTGTGCTCTACCAAGGACGGAGTGCTACTGGACTCTGACATGATAATGTTTGAAGTATAGCTGAAGCCTCAAGGTATGTCTACTCTACAGCGTTATTTCGAAATATCTAATTTTGAAATAGTTATTTCAAAATAGCTTATTTTGAAATAATGCGTTTACACACAAAATGCATTTCGAAATAGCGCATCCATGCTGATTGGATGCTGAATCATATTTAAGGCCAACCAGAACACGTTCCAGCAGGGCATCAGGTCAGGAGTTACCTTGTGACCAGGGTGGCCAGCAGGGCACCCTGGGAAGTTCTGGAGGCCCCCTATTTCGAAATAAGCATTTACACAGCACTTATTTCGAAATAGCAATTTCAAAATTGGCGCTATTCCTCCTGGAATGAGGTTTACTAATTTCAAAATAAGCCCTCCACTATTTCGAATTAATTTCAAAATAACGGAATGGTTGTGTAGACGCTAGGATAGTTATTTCGAAATAACTTTGCTGTGTAGACATACCCTCAGACAGCACTGGCCTGGGTTGTATTTCAGAATCTGATGGTTTAAATCATAGGGTGGGGCTTTTCAAAAGCACTCAACTTTGGACTAACTCTGTTCCCACTGCTGTCCACAAGGACGTCTGACTTCCCCCAGAGCAGTTAGGGCAAAGCTACATGGTTTTGAACATCCCAACTTTTATTTTTGCTTTAATGAAAGTTTAATCTAGCGGTGGGGAATTGTTTTGGGGTCAGGGGCTGCTAAGAAGAAATAATAATAATAATAAAAAATTCCTCACTGAGGTGGCCCCTGACGGAGAAGGAGAAAGACATTCTCCCCATTCCCCTCACACACCAGACTGTAGTGGGGCTCAGGTTAGTAGATTGTGTGCTCCAGCACTGCGGTAGGGGGAAAGCAGTGGGGCAGGCTGGAGCACCCACATGGGAACTTGAGGGGGAGAGCCCTGATCCTCAGGGCCCAGATCTAGACAAGCCAGGGGCTGCATACGGCCCCCGGACCTTAGGTTCCGCACCCCTAGTTTAAAATCTTTTCCAATTGAACTACCCCACCAGAAAAATGTGATTGAGCGCTGGCCCAGACCAGTCCCTGAATGTAATTGATTAGCAGTTACCAAATAAGTTACCCACAATTGTAGTTTGATCTTCTACACAGCCAGTGACGGGAACAAATGAGACCGGAGGAAACGAAGATTGCCAGTGGCAAACAGAAGATAAGAATACCTCCAATTGCTGTCTTCCCAGATGTGGCCAGTTCAGCTGACCCACACACCGACTAAGCAGCTTCAGGAAAGAAGATTGATTGATTTCTGAAAAAAAGGAGAAAATAAAGGAAGAGACATGACAAGAAAGTCAACCTTTGAGCAGTTCCAGTTTTGAAACTGCATCAGATGCAGCCCATATAAGTTGGGTGAGCACAAAAGTAAAAGGAAAACTTGTAAAAGGAAATGTTTACTATGTTGTAACTCACTAGTACCATGAGTGCTCAAGCTACCCGATCCAAATAAGTGCATGTACATGTTTCATTGCCCAGCTTGTATGCAGCTGAGGAGCTGGAAATAACATGGATGCATTTCTTAAAATAATAATACCACATGTGACCCAACCCTTATCTAATGCTTATCAACAGATCACAAAGCGTTTTACTAAGGAGGTCAGTAGTTTTATCCACAGGTGGGAAAACTAATCCCATGTTATTTCTTTCAAGTGTTTAAAAAACAAAAACTCTGAAAAGTTAATTAAATCACTACCTCTTTACATCCTGCTGGGTTATTTTTTTAACTCCCCTATATCATATTGATTAAGATAAGTTAACATTGGCTGCCTGGTTTAACACATGCTATTCAGGGCCCCTTGTACATTGATAGACCTGACATAGGCCATGCACTCATGTTGTCAATCATAGAGTTACCAGGTAGTCATAAAAAAAAATACCAGACACGCTTCATGGGGGGAGGAGGGAGAGGGACCAGCCGGGAGAGGA